TTTTGTTTTGTTTGTTTTTTCGATTTTTCTTGCCGATTTTGATGAAACTCACATCCTTTTATTTAGGCCCCTTCCCATTGTCACAGAAAATGAAATATACAATACCATTCAAAACTCACGAGAAAATTCTGCAGAAGATAATTTCCCAAATGAAAATTATCAAAAAATCAGTGCCATACCTGAATCCAATCATCACTCCTCTCTTTAATCTCTCGCTGTCTACTGGGACATTTCCTAATAAACTCAAAATGGCTAGGGTTACTACAATCCATAAAGGAGGTTCATTTATTGATCAAACAAACTTTCGTCCCATATCTATTTTAAATGCATTTAGTAAAATTCTTGAAACGCTAATGTATAATAGAGTAAATGAATTCTGCAATGCACACAATATACTCTCAGAGTATCAATTTAGTTTTCTACAGAAAAGATCAACAGAGTCAGCTCTACAATGTTTTACAAATGATGTTTTAAGTTCATTTGATAATAATGAGTTTTATGTAGTATATTTTTAGATTTCACAAAAGCATTTGATAAGGTAGACCATAACATCCCACTAGACAAGCTCCATCATTATGGAATCCGAGGTGCCTCATATGCTTGGTTTAAGAGCTACTTATCTGACAGAAAACAATTCGTGTACACAAATGTCAAGAATTCTACTGTTCTTCCAATCAATTATGGTGTACCTCAAGGTTCCATATTAAGACCCCTCTTATTTTTATATTACTGACTTGCCACAGGTCTCATCCAATTTAAAACCATCCTGACAGTACTATTTACTTAACAGACAAGAATATCGACAGTTTCATCTTTAATATGAATAAAGAACTAACTAATATGAGCAACTGGCTAAATGCCAATAAACACTCTTAACTCCGACAAAACACAATACATTATCTTCCATAGACATAAACTATTCACATACCCAATCAATAAAATCGAGATTAATGGAAAAAGTATCCGAGAAAAACAAACAAAATTTCTTGGAGTGATTATTAAACAACATCTTTATTGCCACTACCATATTCAAATCATACATAGTGAAATAGCAAAGCTATGTGGTTTAATAAGTCTAACTCGAAATCATGTTAATAGAGGCGCACTTATGTCACTTTATTACACCTTAGTTTATCCTAACACTACATATCGCCTTACAGTGTGGGATGGGGCGAGCAAAACCTCCCTCAACCCAATCGTTTTGATTCAAAAGAGAGTTGTAAAAGTAATAAATAATTTGTGGAACTGTGGCCATACCAACAATGCTTTCAAGAGCTGAGTTATTAACATTTAACGATATAAACACACTAATATGTGCCGTTTATACATACAAATGCTTGAATTGCCCGGACACATTCCCCAATTATTTCCCAAACATAACAAAAAAACATATTCTCGAAGAGACTACTTTAGACTTCGCCAACCACTGGTCTCATCCTCCCAATCACACATAAGTTATCGTGGAGCTCTAATATATAACAAATTATTACCTAACATTAAAAGTAAGCCCTCTTTAAATTGCTTTAAATCCACTCTAAAAAAAGATTTTACTAAACAAATATTGAAAACAGTAGAATTGCTATATTATTACTGTCTTACCTTTATTTCCTGTAAACACGTGCTTTCGTAACCTTATGTAATATTTATTTTCTAATGCCGGTATTATTGGTAGTATATGTACGTATATATATGTTTGTACGTATGTATGTATGTATGTATGTGTTTGCATGTATGTGTATATATGTATATGTATATGTGAGTGTATGTGTGTATGTATATATATATATATATATATATATATATATATTATATATATATATATATATATATATATATATATATATATATATATATATATATATATATATATATATATATATATATATATGTTGTGTGTGTGTGTGTGTGTGTGTGGTGTGTGTGTGTGTGTGTGTGTGTGTGTGTGTGTGTGTGTGTGTGTGTGTGTGTGTGCGTATGTATGTGCGCGTGTGTGTGTGTATGTATATATATGTGTGTGTGTGTGTGTGTATGTTTTATCGATGTGCTAGTGTACTATTACTGAGTAGTAGTAGTAGTACAAAATGTTCGTATATAACCCTGTTTTACCTTTGTGTTGTGTTGTTTGTAAATTAGAATTAGTAACTACCATTATATTTTTATCTTGTTTAGACTATTTTATGTAATATGTCTTATCTCATGTTAAATGTTGTTATCATTAGGTCATTTTGTTTTGTAAATATTTTTTGTCAATCTTATGTACATTCTGTATAAAAGGACTCTTTGTAAATAAGTTATATGACCAAATAAATTATTTAAATTTGAATTGCCTGTGGTCGACTTTTTTTTTCGAAATCGCCCAAATAGTTTTTGAATGATGGTAAAAAAAAAAAAAACCCCCCCAAAAAAAAAAAAATAAATAAAATAAATAACATTCACCGAGGGGTGGAAATCCTTACGCCTTCAAAAACGATAGAATATTCAATTTTATTTTATTTTTGGACGGACTACCCTATAGCTCCAAGTTGTTCTTTTCAATTTTTTCGATTACAATTTTATTTTTTTTGTGTGTGAATTTTTGAAGTAGGCCACTTCACGAAAAAAAAAAAGTGAAAACTTGCTTACATTTGTCTACTTTGCAAGAAACACAGGCAAAAATTGGAAAAGGTGAAAAGAACAAGTTGTAGATATCTTATTTTCTACAAAATGAGCCATAATACGTTAATTGTGGGCAAAAATTGTGCCTGTGAGGATTTCCACGATACCTAAAGGTGGTGTACCGAGATATCGGCATTTTTCGTTTTCTTCATCTTCCCATGACTATTTTTACCTGAGGTTTGTCTTAACCTAATTAATATTCCATAAAATTTTGGTGGTGATCCGGATAATTTGGCAATCCTACCTCCCATTGGGGGGGGGGGGAAGGTTTGCATTTTCGAAATGTTTTGCTCATAGATCAAACTATGTATGATGAAAACATAAAGAAAAGAAAATACTCATGTACGGCATATCATATTTATTTATTTGTATGAAAAAATCATTATCGTTCTTTGGACGTTAGCAGATTTTAAAAAAATATTCCGAAAAAAATGAAGGTTGGTCTCATCTGACGTGAAATTTAATCTTTCAGAAAATCTCATTTTTTATTATCTCTAATCATTGCGTCACAATTGCCGATTTTCTAAGGTAACGTAAAAAAAAAAAAAAAAAAAAAAATCAGTCGATCGAAATGGCTGCTACCACCTAAAATAGCGGTCGGGCCTTGAAATTTTCAGGGGAACCGGGCTTAGGAACTCCTTGAAAATGCATTTAACTCGATTTCGGCAAGATGGGCGAAAATCGCCGAAAAAAGACCAGACGGTCCCCTTCAGAACTAGGTTCAAATGCTGTAAATATTTAAATGTCCTAGATATAATGCTAAGGATATTGGATCGTCTACACGATGGTTCAAATATAGTGTATTGGAACGTATGGGTAAATCTGCAGGAACTCTCCTACCTCTAAGCAACCTTTTTCTGCTGCCCGCCAGCAGCAGGAGCTTCAAAATTCTGTCTGCAGCTTCTAACAGGCTCTACCTTCCCATCTCAGAATCTCTGAATATACACGAGCTGAAACCAGACCTAAACAATATTACACCTATTCACTCCTTTATGGCGCAATTCAATTGCCATAACGAGCACTACTCACAAGGTACAGCTCACTCTCATATACAGGTTTGTATTTTTTCACATCCAGTCTGTCCGTTCCAATTTATTTCCCATTTGTACCCAGTATTGTTTATTTCATGAGCTATCCTTTTTGTTGTTTCTTGTTTATCTAATCATATGTTAAATGATTTCTAGTCTGATGTTGTAGATCTAAATCTTCGAAACGTTACAATATATTCACCACAGCCCTGGTTCTGCTTTATATATATGTGTGTGTGTTTGGTGTTTTGTATATATTATATATATATATATATATATATATATATATATATATATGTGTGTGTGTGTGTGTGTGTGTGTGTGTGTGTGTGTGTGTGTGTGTATTTATGATTTATTTTTCTTTAATTCTTTATATATACATATACTGATGAATAAACATTATTGTTATTAGTAGTATTCGTTTCATATATATAGTTTTTACTGGTATTATTATGATTATCATTATTGTCAATATAATCATTATCATAAATTTCATAATTTTCCTTAATGTTCTAGTAGTTGTGATTATCACTAATACCATTCCATCATTAGTATGTTTTCTTTGTCTTTTTTTTCGTTTTCTTTTTATTTCTTTTACTGTAACATCCCGTTACATTTTTTTCACGATTCTTTTTAAATAATATCTTCATCATTAGGCCTTCTCACAACATCATCCTGATATTCAAAAAGTATTGGTTTCTCTTTCTATTGCATATAAACTTTTAAAATTAACTCCTGAGGATCAATTGGTCTAGGGATGTTTGGCGAGCATTGTGGGATACAGTGCATGATGGGAACCGCATGATCAGGCATTCAAAATAAGAAGAAGTCTCCATTTAAGACATCCACTATTCTTTGATTAGTTGACATAAAACCAACTGCTGAAGAACAGAAAGGAGGAACAGACGTTGAATTAGTGTCATTAAAACAAAACAAAATAGTCAGTGTATTTATTCTTAAAATTACAAGATATATATATGAAAGGTATGGGCGTGCATATTAAACACGAATTACAGAACACCCACTATTAAGGTGTCATTTCATATTTGTGTACCAAAACCCTTTTTTAACGGTCCTCGCTCTCCTGCTGAGACTCGCCCTCGCTCTCCTGCTGAGACTCGCCCTCGCTCTCCTGCTGAGACTCGTCCTCGCTCTCCTGCTGAGACTCGTCCTCGCTCTCCTGCTGTGACTCGTCCTCGCTCTCCTGCTGTGACTCGTCCTCGCTCTCCTGCTGAGACTCGTCCTCGCTCTCCTGCTGAGACTCGTCCCCGCTCTCCTGCTGAGACTCGTCCTCGCTCACTCGTCCTCGCTCTCCTGCTCAGACTCGTCCTCGCTCTCCTGCTCAGACTCGTCCCCGCTCTCCTGCTGAGACTCGTCCCCGCTCTCCTGCTCAGACTCGTCGCTCAGACCCGTCCTCGCTCTCCTGCTCAGACTCTCTCCTGCTCGCTCTCGACTTGTTCCTTTCTACTGTTCGAGAAGCTCTGTCTGCCTTGTGGCTTCTCTCGGCCGTGACTCAACTCTTCTCTCACTTTTAGCTTCCTTTCGCAAGTGTCTGCTTCTCCTTCCAACTTCTGTTGAAGCCTCTTCCCTCCTTGCATTTCCTTGGAGAGACTCCTTTTCTTTAACCTGTTTTTGTTGAGAAGTTTTGAACCTATTTCCCCTTTCTGCTTCCAGGGGTCTACTCCTGCTTGCTGCTTTCAAAGGCCTTTTATCCCTTGTAGCTTGTAAGGATAGGCCCTTCCCTGCGTCAGTGCGAGGCAAAAGCGAGGCTGTTGGCTGATCAGTACCCGTCAGCGCCATATGATATAGATCGCGGTCCCAAAAGAGAAGAATACATGTCAGCAACACATCCATCCATGTGGTTTTTTTTTTTTCTCTCTCTGTCGTGCCATATAGTGTATATGTAATATTATACATTATATCAAGAGTAGTCAGATGTGACAAACACGAAGCTGCCAGACGCACGAGAATTATATATGCCTAATGTCACTTAAACTAATATTCATCGTAACCTTCACTTCCATTGAGGCATTTTCATAGGTATCATGTATTGCTACAGATTATTTCAACATAGCTATCTATAAAAAAAAAAAAAAAAAAAAAAAGCGAAGGTAGCTTCGGTATTATTTTTTCGGCATGACGAGTGAAGGTTGTCTATTATTAAGGTGTCATCTTATACCAGACACCCACAACGTTGTGTGTCTAAGCGTGTGTTTCCACTTACCTTTAACATTTCTATTAGATCTTCTTTGTCCCTTAGTATCCTGCACTTTTAAGTATCCTTATTTCTTGCTGTGCTGCACCTAGCTCTGCTCCTAGGAAGATTTACTTCCTCTCCTTGCTTACCTATTAGTCCCGTCTTCTTTTTCATATCTACTTCCTAACGATAGCTCTGGCATTGTTTCGCGCTTTCTCCGCTCACGTATCACTCACAGAAAAACTCTCCTTAGCTGCATCCGCCGTGTACGAACGGCCGGTTTGAGTGCCACGCAAGCAGCTTCACACCCCGGAGAATTCCTCTTCCCGAATTCTTTTCTTCCTGAAATATGTTTCGGCGGCTCGGAAATAAAGTTCTTGTCCTTAGGGAAGAAAAATTTCACTGGGTTCCGGCTAATTCAAGCAGTTTTTTCCCGTGCGGGACGCTGGAAAAGGGGGAGCCGACGCCAGGCGTGCGAACGGTCACAACGTAGAAGTCGTGGGGTACGAGGCGTAGATAGGGTTTGCCCACAGGGCCACCGGGAAGTAAAGAATGAGCAATAACGTCGTCCTCTCACCTCCCCCCACGCCGAGCCTCCTGTTGGGCTTTAAATTGAAGCCAACCTCTCACCATACAGTATTCGCCAGTCTCCCGCACTCTGGGCCCGTTTCCATCGCACCCGTATTATTAGGGGGGGAACCACACACAACATACACATACACACAACATAACACCATACGCTTTATCAAACACCTAATGACTGAGGCCGACAAACATGCCGAAGGACAGCCCCACTCACACTCACACACTGATACATAGTCTGGTCCATAGTTACTGTACTTTCAAAATTTAGAATAAACCCTCAAAAAACCATTGCCCTAGTTTTATGTACCAAACCCTTTTCAGCTAGATATAGATAAATATCATTAGAATCATATATAGTATATTGTCGTGTGTGTGTGCATATATAAAATTACGATAGCATATCTAAAATATATTACGATAGAGGGACATATTATAACAGATAATAATAATACATACATATATTATAATCCCATACATATAATACTACATAATGAACTCAACTATATATATAATATATCGAGTAGCATTAGCCACTTATATATTAGTATACTATATTGAAACTGTAATGATAATCATAGAGTAATACCATATAGAGATACAGTCGTTATGTAGGTAGTAATATATACCGCACACAATACAATAAGGTGTGTATCATATAACAGTATATATATAGAGCTATACTGCTCCACCTTATCGAATAAAGAAGACTTTAAAATAAACGCATCATGCTTTTGATAAATATTATAGTATATAATATAATATATATGAACTAAAATACATATAATATACATTTAACATACCATATATGGCAGAGTAGTATGTTTTTATATAGATATATATATATACATACCATGAACTAACCTACTTAATAATACAACTATATATTATTGAGCTGCTATACATAATTCTAAATCCTTATTATATATCGGTAGGTAATATAGTTATTATAATATAGTGCATATATTATATATATAATAGTACTTATAATACTAGAGCCTATATAGCCTCACAGTATTTTATATCATACTAACACCTTTAAGAGATATAGGACATATTAAGACTACATTATAACATTATTATTATACTGGAAAGGTATGATCATATACTGGGTCACTTAGAAGATATAGGTAGTATACCATATATATACTACCATATAAGTCAATAACGTACAGTCATCATATCACGGGACATTATGAGTAGGTAAATTATATTAATAAAGCAGAGAAATTTGATGTACTAGTATATAGATAACCAAAATAATACTAATAGATGATATATGACAATAGATATATATGATTGGATAGACTAGGATAGCACTGCCGAGAGAGAGAGAGAAGAGAGAGAGGAGAGTAGAACATTGCCGTGTTTTATGTGTGTCTGTATCTGTTTTATCTCCATTATATACGAACAATTAAAGAAGATCCATTTGCCTGTTCTCGAATATAACCTCAGTCAGCTAAGATACACTACAGTATAAATTTACCTTGCTAGAGAATACGTGAAATATCATTCTCAAATTCACACATCTTTTCTACATGCATGGTGTGTTTGTGATAGAGTGTGTGTATAATACATACAACACACACACACACACACACACACCACCAATCACACACCATATATATAACACAGATATAAAATATTAATATGTGTGTGTGTATGTGTGTGTGTAGTTCGCGATGTGTATGTATATATCACCTTTTAGCAAAAAATACATCATATATCGATATATACATATAATTACGAGAATTATATTATGGTATATATAAATCATAGTATTACGTATATATAATTATATTATATATAATTAATTAATATATAATAATATATTATATATATATTACTTATTTATCTCTAGAAATATATATCAGTATCCATATCATTATTATTAAACACCGCACACATTTGTGGGGTAGATTATTGTATTGAGTATTTGATTTAAAGTATACTAATTTTACGGGTTTTTACCCTAATAAAAATATTTTCAAAAAGGTTAAACGACTAAATTAATAAACTTTTAAAGCTTAAGCTACGTACTATAATTATAGTATACATAATGTATATATATAATACGATATATATATATAATATATATAATACGAGAGAGAGCGTATACAATATAATACTTAACCCCCACTTTACGTATATATATATTACATGGCCCACATGTGTGTGCTGTGTGATATAATATACTATAAATATAATAAACTAATTCACTATATATGTCATAATATAGTAAGTATATATATGAGGGAGAAGGTATAGTACTATTATGGAGGAAGTAGTTTATATATATACAATATGTGTGTGCGTGATGCTGCATCGTAACGTATAAGCAACATACGCACCACATAGCAAACAACACGACACTACAGCACACACAAAACACACACACACACACACACACAAAACACAGCTGTCAAGAGGCAATGGCGTATTAACAACACACACACACACACACAACACTATCACACGACAACTACACCACCAACCCACATACTATAGAAGTATTCTATTTATTATTAGAGTTATCTATCTATTCTAAATATACAGCATTATATATATAGCTTATATGCTAAGATTTGTGTGTGTGTGTGTGTGTGTGTGTGATGTGTGTGTGTGTAAATGTGTTCGTGTTGTATGTGTGTGTCTGTATGTGTGTCACAACACATTGTATGTATATATCACTACAATTATATATATTGTATATATATATAGTAAAATATAATACTATATCTATTATAGAAGAGAGAGAGAGAGAGAGAGAGAGAGAGAGAGAGAGAGAGAGAGCAGAAGAGAAGAGGAGAGAGAGAGAGAGAGAGAGAAGAGAGAGAGAAGAGAGGAGAGAGATGTATTTAATGTATTTATGTATTTATGCATAAAGGTATATGATAATATATTTCACTCATTATACTATATAGTGATATACTATATAACATAATGTCTATTATGTATGCAATATGATGTTTATATTTATATATACGTATAACTATGAAATATATATATATAATATATGTATTATTATGATATTATAAATATATATACTATATAGATAATATATTTATATATAATAATATATATATTTCATAATACCTTAGTATATAGTAAGTATAATACTATAATGGGCATGATCTCTATGTTATAATACGTTTATATAAACTCGTCCAACTAATATAATCATAATAATATATTTTACTAGTGATGTAGCTTGGGGCGTATTGTCAAATATATGTATTATATAGGCTATATATATCATATATATAGGCAGTATATAATAATAACATAATAGTAGTATATAGTTTCATATATTAATACCTATACTAATATAATTATATATCCTATATCTATAATTAACGAAATATATATAAATATTATATCTATATATATATACTACAGAGTTATTGTATTATTAGTGTATATTAAGTCGCTATGGATACTTATTACGCATGTATACCATATATATAGAATATATATATATTTATATTCTATACCTATATATATATGTAGTAGTCACTATATATATTCAATATTTATACATAATATAGTATAATTATCATATATATATTTATTGATATATAATATCTATATAAATATAAATACTATACATTATATAATATATTTAACTATAGTCACATAATATATATAATAAACACTACGCTATCTTAGCTTAACTTATTATGTATGGTAATATCTATATATAATATATAAACTGGTATACTAGTCATATATAGATATGTATTATTATATATATATATATAATATAGCGTTTAAAGATATATGGTAGTGTATATTATATATATATTATATATATTGATATTATTATACTATAATATATATATATTATAGAGTAGATATTATGGTACTACATATCAAACAACGCACATAGACACACACAGACACACATCTAATTGATAATATTATAAGGGGTAGTGATATTAATGTAATATATATATTACTAATATATATTACTATATATATACTATATACAAAACAGCAACCCACACATCACACCCACACCACACTACACACATAAATCTAGAGCGGCTACACACACACACGACACAACACAGCACACTACATCAAAGCTTACACACACACTCATATTAAGTTTGTGTGAAATATATACGGTAAGTTATATACTTATTACTAATAATATTACACCGTATACCGGTATTATACAAACACCCACACACACACAAACAGATAAGCCGCAAACAAACAACAACGACAACAACAACAACAGCAACATCACAAACACACAGTCAATCACAACCATCACATCATAGCACACATCGCAGAGTACGTACTAGGAATATAAGTACTATATATTAGTATACGCTATATATAACTATATAATATTTATATGCTACTTAATACATATTAAAGATACCATAGCGCATAAATATATTCTACACCATCATAACACAACACACAACAACCGCAAGAACAAATATATAAATATACGACTAATATATAAG